ACCCTTAGCTTCTGCTTATTTAAGGAAATACCCATGGCGTCCAAAGGGTTTTAGACTTCTGCTCACAAATTTTGGCTAGAAAACAGAGTTAAAATTTGCAGGTGTTCTCCCTTAAAATTTACAATTTACATTGCAAAACTTTTGAGGGAAAAGATTTGCACTATTTGGGGATCTGCCGTGAGTATTGTAACAGTGTAACAATTGATCCATGGATGAATTCCCACTTGCCACGCAATGGCAAACGTTGACTGTAAATAGGATATGAGTTGTCTTGTATCCCAAGTACCACACTTGGCTCACGTTTCTAGTTATCCATACACAGTCTATATACTGTACCTGCTGCTATGTATATGTGCCTCATTAATTTCCCTTACTTAACCTGCTGAGTCAGTTTCCTGTCAATGACGCAATGTATTTCCAGGCAATTCCAATATTTGCAGTTGTCTAATGAGCTGTAGGCAAACATGCAGTGTACCTACGTTACTATCAACCTTTACTCTGTGTAGTCCGAGTTAGTGGTGGGGCCTGTGTAGCGTGTCACTTTGTTATTAATTAACCCTCGGCGTGCATGCGCAGCGAGGGTTACAGTACTTGGTTTTTAAGTGTCTGTTACCTCGTTTTCTGCCACCATGCGAAATAAATCTCCCCTTGTACATAGCTACATTTAGCTCTGCGTGGAAGGATACATATGTAATAATAATAATACTCAGGTGGCTGCCATAGCACTAGGGCCATAGACCACGCACCCAGAGCAATGGGCGGAACCGTTAACAAACGAACATACACCATATGAACATGAGGTGTCTGTCTCACCTCCCAGACACCTCAACTCACCCCTTCCACCAGCGACACCCTGCAGCTCCCCAGACGCAATCTGAGACTGGGTTTGTTGTACGCGGGGACTATCGCCGTATAACCTAACCTTTCTTAGCTCCCAAACATCCAAAATAAAATCTTTAACAAGGCCAATATAAGTGTAGAATTATGTTACAGTTTGTGTGTATGTGCACAAAGCATGTAACTGTATCGTACTATGCAGCAGGTTATATCATACACCCATATCCCTATCTTCTGTGTTCTACATGTTGTCTTGCTCTACATACGTATCTGAAATACTACCATTGCTTTCTGTACAGCTATTTACACATACCCATAATTATGTACATGTGTACATATATGTGTACGTAATTGTAATTGTAATTGCACATTGACGGAGACGCATACTGTACGTCTGTTGGCTCTGATTTTCCTATTTCTGATCGTGAGATTGTGTGTGAGTGTAAGCCACTGGTCGTTAGTAGCTGGACATGGTATAATGAGGGTGATTGATTCATTCACCCGAGGACAATGGTACCATCTCCTTTTTAGGAGCACCTCTACTTGGCTCAGGTCGTAGCATATGTGACAGAGTTTAGCTAGTAAATATCACTTGTTTGTCATGCATAATGTCCTCGTCCTGGTGTATAATACTGTGTGGGTGTATAGTGAATGTATAATATACGTCATACCTGCAGACCATGATGTACGTACTGTGTTCTGCTGTTTTATGCTCAAACCCTTTTTTATAGTAGAACATTGAATAAAGGGAAAGTCTCTCAATAAAGACACAGTCTTTGAGGTTCCAAATGTTATTATCCCAGCAACAGGATATCCCTAGGCAACCGACATGTATGAAGCTAGGTACTGGGGGATTTTATCAGCCTATACAATCCTACATGTGCAAGAAGGGTTCATACATGTCATTTGCCTAGGGATATCCAACAAATCTGTTGCAGTGCCCAGACAGGACACACAGGGCTCATGCTGTCCTTTCTAAGCACTGCAACATATATTATATGTACAGGGTATGATATTAGAACCTCAGTAGGAGGGATATGGCTTTCAGCTTTATACTTGTGTACCAAGGAGGTTTGATGATAGCAGGCATACTGTATTCAGCATGCCTGCCATGATCAAACCTATACATTAGACCCAGGACGTAACATGTGAACTGTTCTCTTTATGTAATGTTGCAGTGCCCAGACAGGACAGCATGAGGCCTGTAAGGGCGAATGCTGTCCTGTCTGGGCACTGCAACAGATTTGTTGGATATCACTAGGCAAACGACATGTATGAACCCTTCTTGCACATGTAGGATTCTATAGGCTGATACAATCCCCCAGTACCTAGCTTCATACATGTAGGTTGCCTAGGGCACAGTGTATACACTGTACTTTGTACTTTGTACTATGTGTATGCCTCATGTTGACTACTTTCACTGTGTCATATGCTGTATATAAAGTGTGTATAAAGAATGGTGGGGTGTGCCCTCTGCCTTTGGGAGGTGTTTTCTAACTAAACCCCCTTTCTAGGAAATGCTGGCTGCTAATGTAATTCACAGAATATTGGCTGCTGTATGTTAGTATGGATGTCGTGTTGGTTCTCTAATATCCCTATGAATGTGTGCTTGTGCAGTACACATAAGTATCCATATGTGTGCTTGTATAGTTCACAGACTGTACATATATCCCTAGTAAGTGTTTAGCAGCAAAGAATTACTGCACGAAAGCCATCCTACGCAGTTTGCCAGCACATGAATGTGTAAGTCCAAAATATAATATTGGTGCTTTGTCTTCTGAGGGACTGTGTACATATAATGTTTACCTTCAGCTAGTGTAGGTGGTATAAGGCCCTTGGTTAGGCTTGTGCTAACTTCCAACTGTGTTGTTAAAGAGTTACTAAAGTGAGTGTTGTGTGGTTCTGTAAGTGGGAGCCATTGCACATGCCTTATAAAGTGGTGGGAGGGGGGGTTTCTCAACTCAACTAGGTAGGACTATTTTCGGTGAAGATACCTCACTACTGGGTATGAAGCTAAAAACTTGACAACTGAACAAGTTATACTACAAGACTATAGTTATGTGTGCATGTGAAATCTACGAGGTAGAAAGGTAAATTAGGCACAACAAACCAGTCAACTACAGGTTGCATGTATGTAATTACCACGTAGTGTGCATCTTTATACTGTGCACTATTGAAGAGTGTTCACATGTTGCGAAACCAATGAGCATTGTATATACACATGTCAAATAAGGAGGCAAGAGAAAGGGTGTGCCAAGTGGAATGAGTGTTCATCTCATCCCAAACTTGGCACGAGGCACCCCCACTTCAACTCTGAACCTCAATATATCTGTCAGTGAGCATACAGCACATAGTCCTCTTAGCTGTCAACCTGAAAAAGCTCAAAAGCTCAATTCCGTGTCCCTATTCCTATTATTGTGCTCTCTCTATAAAACACGGCCCTTCTACATTACTTAACCTACAAAAGCCTTAGAATTGTCTGTGGCGTGGTTTAACTCAGCATGTTGAGCTGCACTTGTGTATGTAGCTCAGTGGTCACTCGTAGTATGGAGAACACTGTCGTTGTTGGTTCGAGTACCACCTAGGGCAGCTCTTTTTTTGAAAAAAGTCCTATTTATATATATTATATTTAATAATAATGGGTGTCCCTTTAATTTGTTGGATAAGCATTTGCCTTGTTGTCATACACCCTGATCCATCCTGTAGGTGTATACAACATTTGCTTATACCACACATATTATACATTATAATACAGGAGAGAGTGTTACATGTAGCAAACATGTAGTGGATTTAGAGGAAGTGAGGAGGCAACACTGATACAAAACACGGTCCATATAGGGAAGTCGGTTGCTAGGCTACCTAATCAATAATGGGAGACTGTTTTAGTAACCAGAGCAACGACCGTTGGAAAAATTACGGCTGCGCAACTCGTGTTTTCGTGTTTTCGTGTGGTGTATGTGCGTGTGTGTGTGTGTTCATATTATTGCTACCTCATTGCCAATACAATCGGAAAAGTATATTATATTGGTTTGGAATGCATTATTTAGTAACTCTTTCACTTTGTAATAAGCATACATCATGTGCAGTTCAAAGGTCGGACTCTAGAACTCTGTGACTTGTTTGCGCTCACTCGCCAAAAATCCTTTGTATTCCTTTAGTATTGACAGTGTGTTGCAAGTAGGTAGCTCTAAATTTATTTTGTATCTGACCATTTCCTGGTGGTTGTGGTGTGTGGAGTAGTGGTGTGTAATTGGACGTGTGGCCTCATGCCCCATGTAGCTACACTTTTAGACCGCAGGGCTATTACTTGCTCTAGCTGCTGTTTGTTCCTTGGTTCACACTTACCGCTCTGTATACAGCCCTTTGGTCCACGATAGGTTTATGTGTTTGTAGCTCTGTGGACGCTGGATCAGGGGGTGGCAACACAAGGCAACAACATACATCATACGTATCAAACAACAAGAGTACATGTCAAACGATTTAACACCACTTGGGACAACACAAAAACTGCCATAGGAGGTAGGAGGGACTCCAACCCACTTTACACCTACATATTTGCTTGGTTCTCACTTCCACTGGCTGGTAGCTAGTACAGTGGGTCCCAGTTAATAATTATGGTACCCACCCACAGTGCATCCAAAAATATGATAATATGCAGGATATGCTACAGTTGGGGTGTGTATACTGTCACCCAGATAGAACACAATGCTGTTTGTTTAGCTAAGCTAATCAAGCTAGCTGTTTACCTGAGCTAAATGAAGAAGCCAGGTGGAGAATGATAATAAACTGGGATATTTTACAAGTGGGACCCACTGTAGCTACTTGGTTCACATTTTGCAGAGCTGCTTGGTATGGAGTAAAACTTGCTTCCCTACAGTACACACCCCACATCAATCCTGTTCATTTCTCTATGTATATACTGCAACTGTAATAGTACATAGTGTGTGTGTATGTGTGTATGTGCCACTTTCATTTTGTAGACTCTTCAGTGTAAACAGAGCTTTTGTGCAACTCTCTCCCATCTCCCTTTCTCTCCCATCTCCCCCCTCTCCCCTCTCTTCCATCTCCCATCTCTCCCATCTCCCCTCTCTTCCATCTCCCCTCTCTCCCTTCCTTCCTCCCTCTTCTTCCCTCCTCCCCTCCCACCCACTCCCACCATTCAGCAACAACCGACTCAAGCTATGCATCCCTCGATGGAGGCTCAACAGATGCCTCTCACAATGGAGAGACATATCCAACAGACCAACGAGAGATTGCAGGTAAACGTGTATACGTGGACGAGAGCGCTCGCCTAGACAGCAGAGTGTCGTGGGTTCGAATCCCACCCAGGGCAACTCTTTTTTTTCCTTGGGAAAAAAAAGAGTTGCCCTGGGTGTAGTTGACTTGTTTGCTTTGCCTTTGTATATACATACCTCACCTTGTTGTTGATACATGTACACACTTTAACTCTAGCGATCATTGCACTAGTACCTGTGCTATGTTTAAGTTTGTAGTGGTGGGTGCTTGGAGAAAATTTTTGTCACTCCAAAAGGAAATCCTGTGCCTGTTGATATGATACACTTATGGGAATTGGGGGTTGCTTTTGGTTTCATGTAGTCTCTCTTTCCTTCCTCCCCCTCTCATCTCTGCTCTTTCCTCACACTCTCTCTTCCCTCTCGCTACTCTCGTCAACCTCTTCTCCCTCTCTGTCCCCAAACCGCCTCTCTCACTCCTAGGCCCACCCTCTCTCTCTCGTCAGCCTCGTCTCCCCTCTCACCTCTTCCCTCTATGATCCTTCCCTACCCCCCTTCCTCCTACTCTCCATCCCAGGTGATATGTCAGCAACTGAAGACTCCTCAGGGTTTCATATCTGCAGCCAGGGAGCTCCTGGACTGGTGTGGTGATGTGAGGGCCTTCCAGCCCCACTATGAGATGGGTCTCATGATGTGTCTACAGGCCGTCAGTAGATTCGCTGCCTCTCCCGGTTTCGACCTCAATCTCGGTGGGTTTCGTTAGTGTTGCTGCTTTTGCCAATCAGTCACGCTTCAGGCATCCAATTTGTTACTCATAGGAATCTGGAATGTTCATGTTGCCAGCTACTGTTTGGGTATTGGTAGAGTATGGGTGCAGCGTGTTGCAAAACATTAGTCAAACCTCTTTTCTCTATTGCATATTCAGGGTACAGACTGCTAGCAGTGTGCTCCAGTCACAAGAACAAGTTCTCAGCTGATCATGCAGGTACATGTACTGCAGTGGAACCGTTCTCTAAGAACACCTCTGAAATGAGGACATCACCTCTCTACAACCTCATCTTTCACTTAGAACCGTTCTTGCATGCAATTAGGAATAAGATACCCCGTTTTATACAGGTGAAGTGTGAATGGATGTATTAAGGAATGATTCCCCCCAGTCATCAACATAAATCCCTATGTTATTTGTGGCAAGATTTCTTGACTTTAGTACTTTCACGCTCACTGTATGCCCGTAACTTGGTGGTTCATGTTGCACGTGTACATGTTAGAGCATTACTGAATACATAATCCTCATTATCATCATCAAATATAGGATATGTATGGTCAGTTAGTAAAACAAATTGGTGGGGTGTTATATCGTTACCCAAGGCTTATACACCATGAAATAAGCCTGTAGTAGCATCACTCCCAGTGTGTACAAAGCATGTTGTCTGTCTTTACAATAGAGTATATGCCATTGACCTGCTTGTATATATAGTGGTGTAGTGTAATTGGTGAATGCAATGAATTATTGCTTGTGACAGTGTTGGCCGGGCCTCAACGGGACGTGCCAAGTTTGCCTGTGGTAATAGGCAGACATGTATAGCGAGGCCCCTCATTCCAGTCCCTGCCTTACTCCCGGAGCCATCGTCTTACGCATACACAATACTGCCTCAATGGGGTATAGTACTGTATTACTGTGGGTGGGACTGTAACAGCCATACATTCTGTATAGGACACGTGTTTAAATTGAGGGGTGTGCAAGAAATATTGTAGCGTTGATTTTTTTTGTGTGGTGTAGAAAGAAAAAGAAGGGGGAAAAGTAGTGATTCTGATGCTCTATTTCCCTCTGCTTTCCACATCTTTATGCTCCCTTTCCCTCCCTCTCACTTTCTTCTCACTCTCCTTCCTCGCTCTCCGTCTCCTCCTTTTCCCCTCCTCTTTCTCTCTCTCCATGTTGTCGTCCCTTGCTTACTCTCCCTCCATCCCCCACCCCCCAGCTGTGTTAGGTCAGTGGTGTGAGGAGCTGGGTCGTCTCATGCTACTCAGGCACCAGAACAGAACGAGGCAGATGGAGGTCGGCCGGAATCAGTCCCAGACGGCAGCCATGGAGATTGCCAAGGCAGCGGCTCTCTACGCAGCCAACCAGCACATGCAGAGGCCCTATGGGGCAAGGTGAGCCTGTACGTTACTCATCAGGACTCAAACGATACGAGGTCGCTATCTTACGTGCATTGTGTCAGTGGTTAATCTTGGTGGTAGTATATAGTTACACTATTTTACAGTTTCTCCCTTCTAATCTCGGTGGTAGTACGTAGTTACACTCACTTTCTCCCAATTTCATTGTATTGACCTGTTGGATGCCTGGGAAAGGCCGGTAGTGAAAAACACGTAGTGTTCCAGGAATTGTATCACGTTCAGTATACTGTTGCTGGAAATGTTTTGTGAGAGAACAGAGTTAACTTTCGGCACTCTCCTGGTGCAATTTTAGATCCTTTTAGACCACACAACTGAAAGCCTTGCTTTACGCTGGGTTTATTTGCATTGACATGATTTCTGAATCTGTGTGTGTAAGGTTTTGACGTACATTCGATCCGCCACTGTATTTTCTGCAGCAGTGTAAATATAGATAAAGCTTATACACCTGTTTGTGCTATATACAGTAGTAGGTACTATAGTACGTATGTACTGCTGTAATCACATATTCCCCACTAGCTGTATATGACTTACGTAACAATACTGAATAGCGGGGTGTATATTTCCTACGTGAAGTTTTTGACGATTTGTGTGGTTTTTGAGAAGGAAATTGCCGCCCGTTCATTGTTCCTCCCTCCTTCCCTACCTCCAGTGATGGACCCAATGCCCAGTGGGTCGGGGGAGATCAGCAGTTCAGTGTCGTGACCACCGTACACGCAGGTGCCACCAACCCCATGGAGATGGGGGGAGCCCCTGGTCATTTCGTGACCCCAATGAACCACCCTCATCCGAACAGCGTCTCCTATACCACCAGTCCGCACGCTCTCGGGAGTGCTCAGTGGGCACCGCCCAACGCCAATCTCTTCCCGCAGAACAGCGGATTACCCAATCACATAGGGCCCCCCCACCCCCCCAGGGGGAATGCCTCCAAACGCCACTTTCTCTGATCCGCACGCGGGTGGGGCCCGGTTCAGGACGACGGTTCCCGGAGGAGACCAGAGGTCGCAGGGGTCAAATCTGTCGGCAGCTGCTGCAGCCGCTGCGGCCGTGATGGCTGCTGCCACGGCAACGGCCCACGCCACGGCGACCCTGACGCTGAAACCAGGGGTTCAATCGCAGGGGTTTCCCCCTGACAACGGAGGTCCCCCTCCCTCCATGCATCCACAGCAACAGCAGCAGGCTCAGTCTGTCATACACCAACAAACACCACCTCACCAGGTAAGATTGTGTGTTCAGTTCTGTGTGCCATGTAAACTGCGCCTAGTGTCTGTCTTCTGTGCTAGCTAATGCTTAGAACGAACTCACACGTGAAAATGTGTTTACTGATGTATGTGATATGGCAGGGTAACCCTCAGGGTGTAGGACATAACAGTACATCCAGTGCTCCTTCGTCTGTCCCTCCTCCCTCCTCCACCCCCTCACACTTACAACAACAACAACAACAACAACAGCAACAGCACACCACGACTCCAAACAGTACTGCTCCCATCTCTCAGGTACTATATACATAATATTATATAGACTACATTACATACACAATAGGATAATGTGACGTGATGCACATTATATACGTAGAAGCCCAACAAAGGGTTGTATGTGAGATTAGATATCATGGGTTTTGGTGAGAACGAGACAGCTCTAATATATAGAAGAAACTGGAGTATGATTTTGCTTTAGAGACACTCGAGAGTGCAAACCACGTTCTGAAGAAAAGGAGTTCAAGATACTGTATGTAAACCGCTAGACTCTGCTGCTCTCCGTCTGTGTTAGTAACTTTTTTAGCTCTCACTTGCACTGTTGTTGGTGTTATTTAAGGAGGATATCTTATTTGTTAGAGCTATATACTGGACAGTATGTATATATGTTGCAGTGCCCAGACAGGATAGCATGAGCCCTGTATGGGCGAATGCTGTCCTGTCTGGGTACTGCAACAGATTTGTTGGATATCCCTAAAGCAAACGATATGTATGAACCCTGCTTGCACATGCAGGATTCTATAGGTTGATACAGTCCCCTAGTTGTAGCTTCGTACATGTCAGTTGTCTAGGGAGATTTCTTCTCCACAAATAATACATATAATTATTCATTGGGAAAAACTTCTGA